TTGAAAGCAGACAGAATGATACAGACATGTGGGTTGTCTCTGATGGCGCCAGATCGGATGACAACATTTCTTTCAGTTGCTTGTGACTTAATAGGAGGCCTTGCAAATTGTAAGGTCAGTGTTTCTGGATTCTCACCCTTCACACACCTGGGCAGAACACCCGTGGCAAATGGGCACGATGGGCATTTTTGATTGTATCCAATTCAACACCGCTGCCGTAGTATGAGTTTTGGCCACACTAGCTACAGTTGATCATCTGTCTTTCCTCTTGACTCCTGCAACATGCAAGTTGGTGGCTTTCTCTTTGAATCTACTGAGGGTTCACTGAGTGTCTGGTGTCTCACTGCACTGATTTTTGAGGCATGAGAGTTTAGCCATAGAGCTTGATTAAAGTTTTCCTCTAAAATGCTTTGCACCAAAATCTTTGTGTTAAAACGCCAAGTCAGGGGCGCCTGGGTAGCTCAGTCAATTAAGCGTCCACCTTCGGCTCAGGTTATGATCCTGGGGTCCTGGGATCGAACCCCGCATCGGGCTCCCCTGCTCAGTGGGGAGTCTGCTTCTCCCTCTTGTCCTTCCCACTGCTCCTGCTTGCTCTCTCTCTCTCTCATGCCGTCTGTGTCTTTCTCTCAAATAACTAAAATCTTTAAAAGAATAATAAATAAAACGCGAGTCAGTGAAAGGCTATGTGGTGTGTGTGTGTGTGCGCGCGCGCGCCTGTATGCACACGCCTGCCCTCACACTTGGGGGTGAGATTGGGTGGAGTGTGGAGTAAAGAGAAAAAATGCTAAGGAGGAAGGGGAAGAGAGAAGTAATCGTTCCTAGTACTCTGAAGAAAGGGGTGTTCAGGCTCCTTGGTTATCCTGAAACAAGAGGCTTATTTCTTGTTGCTGATGAATTTCAGTTGTAATTACAGACCATTGGTAAGCCACGTTAAGTCCCAAGGGCTGGATCAAAAATATACTCTACACCATCTGCAGGAGCCCCTTGAATCCTCTCTGAAAAACCTAGTAGCCAAGTAGTAAATCAAGTTGTGAGCAGATACAAACTGTTGCTGGTTATCCATTAAAGTTAGCTTTCTCTCCACAAGGCGAAGGGCCATGTTCTAAAAGTGGAATGCATGGGCTGGGGCTAGCTCCAGTGTGCCACTCACTTGCCAGTTTCTGTTCTGTTGCAGAAGTGAACGACAACAGTTAAACTTTAAAGATAAACAGTTTTTTTGATTGGGTTCCTAGAGAATAATGGCGCTTTTGTATAATTCTTGAAATAGAGCCTACAGCCGCCCCGAACAAAATAGTCTCTTTCAAGATCTTGGAAATAATGACATCATAGGCAGATTGAACCAGCAATCCATTAATAGTATCCTTTGTAGAAAGCTGTCTCAGGGGAGGGACCTGGATTAGTAAATTGGCATTGTTTACAAACATAACATAATAGAATCCCCCGTTCTTCTACGTTTCTGGAATAATCGGAGACACTTCCCATTTGGGAAGCAAACATATTAACAGCCGAGCTTCCTTACGGGCCCATACCCCTTTTCCCTTGGTCTTCTGAAAGCGTGCTTTGAAGCGCTTGCTTTGAAGGTGAGTTAAAGATAACAAGAGCCTCCTGCACTATTCTTTTGTCACCAAATCAGAATTCTCTGGAATGATTAGGAGATGAAGGTTGGTTGTGCCAGGTAAAGAGTAATAAAGAACTGAAGTAATATCAGGACAACTCAGGCAAAACCAAATCTGAAATGTCTAGGTAAAACTGAACGATGATTTGCTTCATGCTGCACATTTTTCAGTGTGGAACTAGACAAGGATTCCTCAGTTTCTTTTCCATCTCTGTGAAAGGTGTATTCTGGCTCCTCTTACAATCCCCGGATGAGTTGACTAGAGTGAAAACAAGTCCAGTTTGCTGGGCAGTAGAAAGGTGTGCCATGTAAACTGGGTCCTTCGCAAATGCCTGTGTTATGGACCACGGCAAGCATGTGGTGGTGAAATTTTGGTCAGGGATTTCGAGTGTAACATAGGGGAGTGTACTTGGGGTTTTCTATCCCAAGTACCCCTTTTTTCCCCAGCCTAAAACATACCTGGTCAAATAAGGTCAGAATAATCAGGCAGCTTGAAAAGAAGCAGGGCATCTACCAGTTGAGTCTCTAGCCAGAGAGAGAGTAATTAGGAACAAAAACACCCCTCCGTTAGCCACACCTAATTATCAAGAACAAAGGAGCCTAGTATTTTGAATTACGTAGGTGTACTAGAACCCTGACCGCCCCAGACTCTTGCTTGCCTTGTTACGTAAGGTCAGCTTCGTATATCATACTAAAGAGGCCATGCCTGTTTCTCTGACTTTCGTCATCTTAAGTTATGTAATGTGTCATCAGAAAATATGTATCATCCAGCTCTCCCCCCGCCTTCTCTCTCTGTGAGAAACCTAGCTTCTAGGTATTTCTATTTAAATCCTCAGGTGGTTTTTTTTGTTGTTGTTTTTTGTTTTGCAATGGCTTTCAAACTTCATTATTTTTACCAAGCTACATTTTGTGTATCTGAGCTTTATGTAATAATCACCCCATACTCAAGCATTATTTTTAAACCCCCAAAAGTAAAACAAACAAAAAACACACACACAAAAATTAGTGCTTTCTGTGGCAAATTCTTCTCAGTAACTAAATGAAAACCATGGAACCCATCCACTACAGAATGATGTTGCTGGTGAAGTCAGTGTTAAACTCACTTTTCTTCTGGAGAAACAATGAATTTAGAAGGACCAAATTTAAAACGCAAAAGGGAATGCAGACGCATTAGCACTGGCTTCATAGATTACTCAAAACATGTTTTGAGTATACTCTCTCCTTGAAATCACAGTTTTTCACTTTATCTTGTGCTGGGTTTCACCTACATAGGAAAATGCGAGGTTAATCAAGTTGTCATTGGTGACCAAACTTTTATTACTGAGTGTTTCCCCTAGCATGATTACTGAAAAAACTACAGAATGGGTCTTAAATTCATTAAGATAATGTAAGACATGACAACTGCATGGGTTCTTCTTATTGATTTCTAGTTGACTCTTGCTTCAAAGAATTCTGAGACTGAAACAGAAACCTACTACCCTTTAAGGGGTCCGATAGTAACTCTAAGAATATGTCTCTTAAGTAACCCATCTGTGTCTCCATTCATACGTACTCGAACAACAAATACTGATTTAAGCTTCTGTGTCAGGTGCCATGCTAGGCACTGGAAGCGAGATTATAGGCTTGAGCAGTGGGTTTCATCTCTGGCTGCACGTTATATATATATATAAATGTTTATTAAATATACAGATAAAAATGCAACTACAAAACAAGTCAGGGTATGTGTATTGCAAAACAAAGGGTGCTAAAAAAAAGGAGGGACTGCAACAGTTCACAGGAGGGCAAGACTCTGACTGCTGTTATCTTACTGGATGAGAAATCAGGGCCAATAATCATACGTCCGCACAGAAGGGAAGTACTGGATATTGTTCCAAAGAACATCATTGCCTTGCTTTTCATCCCCATGCCCCCAAAACAAAAGAGATCTCTTGCCCAGATTAAGATCAAGCTGGTCATTGTTAGTTGGCAGTCACCTGTGCAGATGGAGAAACTATTAATCGGTACTCACCTATTCTTGAATACTTAAGTTGGAGAAAATTTGGGACATAGTAAAATTTTGAAACTCTTCCACATCACGTGATGTAAGAGTTCATTACTGCGAATAATAAACACATTGTAACCACTAAAGCGATACAAGTAATTATGACAGATTATTTCTCATTACAGTAGGTAACAAGAAGACCCTGGTTGTTGCTGTACTTAAGTTTGTTTACAGTAAATGTTGTTGGAATAAAGTGATCTGCTAAGTCGTTTTTGGAGAGCTCTTATGCTCCTAAATTAGCGCCAGTTAATACTTGATGAATTTACATAGATTCTGTTGCATTGGGATTTCATTTGCCTTGTGTTCAAACTGGAGATTCACTTGGAAGATACTCTTAAGGCGTGACTTGAGATGGCAAGCCTCCGTTGGGGTCCTAGTGGAGGGACTTGAATTAGAATAGGAAAACAGTTGGAAGCAGGAACATTTCCTCGGGGAGTCCATGCTTTTCCAGGTCATTTTACCTTCCAGTGGGATGAAACCTGAACGTATTCGGCCCTAAGCAGAAGATACTAACGAGTAATGAATTTAAGAGCAGGTAAGTTGCTAAAACCCTGACTGGTTCTTTCAACCCTGTTACCCAGGCCATCTCCCTCATTCCCCGGTTCAGGACATAAAACATGACAAGGAGGAAGGGTATGATGTCTCCTCAGGAACTGGTCCTCTCCTTGGAGTTAGCTCCTCTTTGCTCGTGGGGACATCTGGCTCAGCTTTATATTCTACCCACCACCTGAAAATGGGGCATTGTTTCCTCATTGCTACATCCGGAGTCTGCTGCAACTGTCAGGCCTACTAGATTACGCTCCAGTTCTTTCTCATAAAACAGTAGAGTGTGTTTTGTGCGTCAGGTACACACAGGTAAGAATCTGGCGCCGGTGGCATCCCAGTGTCAAAGCAGCTAACAAATCCTTGTTTGGGGCCATTAAAAATCAACTGCCAAACCCGTGTCAACCCCAGACTTTGAGGAGGTTGTGCTTCCCGAGCATCACCAAAATCAGGGTAGAATTTTTAAAGAAGGTTGTAAATTGTTCATTAGAAGATTGTGAGTGGACAGCAGAAAATGGAAAGGGACTTTCTGTGTTTGTGTCTATGTATTGAAAAGCCATTAATTATTGCCTTCATCTTCCTCTTTGGGAAATGGCGTCGTTGGTCTTTAGGGATACAGGTCCCTCCCCTCTAGAAAAGAAACCTCCGCAAAAGGTCATCACAAAACCTGAGACCACGCGAGACCAACGCTTTTGTGTCTAAGACGGCAGAATCCTCATTTTACCGGATTGTTTTGTTGTTTTGTTTTTTTTTTTAAGGCCGCTTCTTTCTCAATTCCTGTTTTCTCCTCCTGTTCTGTAGGAGCTGTGCAATCAGTTGTCCCTGAAAATGTCTGACAGTCTGGATAATGAAGAGAAACCCCCGGCCCCACCGCTGAGAATGAACAGTAACAACCGAGATTCTTCGGCACTCAACCACAGTTCCAAACCACTTCCCATGGCCCCTGAAGAGAAGAATAAGAAAGCCAGGCTTCGCTCTATCTTCCCAGGAGGAGGGGATAAAAGTAAAGTATCAGTGGCCGGGCATTGAAAAGGGGCTAGTTTTCTTTCTTTCATTGTCACTTTCTTTCTCGGGTAGTCATTTCTGGAGCATTGGCTGTGCGGGGCCTGCCTGACCTTTCCGTGTACACCTTCAGAGGTTGCGTTTTGTCAGCGGATAATGTGTGATTGACTTAACCGTGGGTTTACAGAAAATTCACTTAGGCCGTGTTTGCCTTTCATGATGTTCGACCAAGGGAAGTCATAGCAACAGCACTGTCTTAAATATATGAATAGTGACTTTCTTTCCCATAACTTAGAGGGGAATTTACAGTAATCCCTTTCTAACTGTAAGTTGACCTTATTGGAGATTTGAGTATAGGTGGATTTACTTCGGTATACCTTTCTGACCATGGTGAAAATTCTGAATTGCGTAAACGGGAGTCAGTCCAAGTCGTCACGTGATTGTCTCTCTGGCTTTATCACAAGGTGGGAAGACCCTTCTGAGTCCTTTGTTCTCTCTCTCATTCCTCCACCATCAGCCCCATTGGCACTGAGCATCCCAACAACATATTAACATTTATCCATGTGTTGTTCATAAAACCATTTGTGATACTGAGGGGCTAGAGAATCTCTAGTAAATAGGGGTCAGGTTGCATTAATTAGCGTAAACTTAAACATGGCTTCTATAAATGTGACTATTGAGGCAGAAGAGAGTGAAGCAAGCCCATAGCAAGCTGCCAAAAAGGCAAGAAAGGGGGTGTCTTTAGAAAAGAGACATTCACCATCTGCTCCTTCGAGGTAAAACAAATAGTTTTGCAGGTCACTTACATGGTGGGAATGAGTCCCACAATTCGTACCATAAGGAAAGCCAACACTCTTATTAGGACCAAGATTGCCTCTTGGTACGCCTCTGTCACCTAAGAGGCGCTTTATCCCTGGTGACCCGGATGGAAACGGTGGAAGTGTTATAAACCCCTGCATATGAAGACAAACAAAAGAAGAACAAAGCACTTTCCACGCAAGGGTCTGCGAATGTGCACGAGGGATGGCCAAAGATGTGTTTTCAGACACCGAAGTGGGTCCCAGAAAAAAAACCCTGCCGAGAGCAAGGGATGCTTTGAGAAATTTCTGGTGCGCCATGCCCGGGAGACCAAGTCTTCGGTGAGTGTGGTGCAGAAGAAAGAACCGCGAGACCCTGCCACTGCTGTGTTGTATCTGCCACAAGTGCAGGAAACGACTGAATCAGGAGATTATGTGGCTGCCCGAGTCTTCCCTGCCGTTGAGACCACCATGCTTTGGAAACCTTTGAATAATCCCACTTGCCCTTTTGAAGAAAAAGAGCCAACCAATGCCGACATGAGTTCAGCAGAAACAGAGAGGCCGACATTTCTGTTTTGTGCCAATACCTGGGGTGACCTTATTGCGAAACCGTTGCTGCCTGACACAAAACTATGCCCAAATCTTCTCAGGGGAAACAAAAAGCCAAGCCAAGTTTCTGGTGTATTGGCACACAAACAGAAAAGTCTGGATAACTCCTCTCCTTAAGGAATGGTTTGAACAGTGCTTTCTCTTGGAAGTTCAGTATGAAAAAAAAAAAATCTTGAATTCAGAGTCCTGCTGATTCTTCCCAGTCCTTATAAAGACAACCTTAACAGATCCTTGAGCCCTTAGATCATTGCATGATCCAGCCATTCAAGAGGACTTATGCCAAACTAATGCATACCTTTGTTGTTCAGAATCTCAAAGGCTCCTCTGTCTGAAGATCCTAATGCATGGGGTTCTGACACTATCACTAATGTTGTCTTCTTAATAAAAGAAGCATTAGCTAGTTCAACAGACCTGTCAGTAATGCAAGCTGACAAAAAAATCTGACTAGAGATGGGTGACATACCTTTCAATGATCTGTTCCAAAGACAGAGAATCTTTGGATCAAGAAGAACCCGTAGATGAGGAGGGACATTTGGTACAAGAGCACTCATTGGCTGAAGTTGAAACTGAACCTGTTGATGCTGCTAGAGGATGACTCTCAGGAAGCTTCCAGTACCCCAGGGGTGATTATCATAAGTTATGACAAAGACACTTAGGAAGCTATGGGACTGGAGACAAATATAGTTAGAAGCAACAGGTGCAGAGCCTTTAGAACACAATTAAAACCTCCCCCAAGAAAGTAATGCAAATTGAGACATTTACACATCAAATCTTAACCTGTTCAAAGCTTGAGTGGTTTAAAAGAACTCTGTAAAGAGGTGCTGTGATGCTTTCAAGATAGCACATTGGAGGGCCCCTGGGTGGCTCAGATGGTTAAGCGTCTGCCTTTGGCTCAGGTCATGATCCCAGGGTCCTGGAATCGAGCCCCGTGTCGGGCTCCCTGCTCAGCGGGGAGTCTGCTTCTCCCCCTCCCTCTGCTTCTCCCCCTGTTCATGCTCTCTCTCTCTCTCTTTGTACCTCTGTGTCTCGAATGATTAAAAAAAAAATATATATCACATTGGAGAGAAAGCGTCTTCCACAGAACTTGAGTCGTCAAGGAGGACCATTCAGTATCGTTGCTGGACAGCTGATAAGCTGCCTTCAGACCAAGTGTGAAGGATTTCATTGAACTCTCTATAAAGAGGTGCTAAGAGTCTTTTTACATTACCATATTAGGAAGAAAGCACCCTCAGAAGAGCCTAAATCTTTAAGTAGTGCCATTTAAGTACCCACAATAGACACTTGGTATGCCACCTTCAGAGAAGGCTTGAGCGATTCAATTTGAACTCTGTACAGAAGTGCTAAAGTATCTTCAGGAAAGACTTGAGTAGACAGTATCTTCAGAAGAGCCTGTCATGAAGTTTTACCACTAAAACCACTTGCTGTGATAGGGCGAAAGGCACAAGCAAGTTGTTCCAGTCTCAGGACTGGATTCCGATGACTTGGGAGAATATGAAGATCCACGATTTGAGCTAACAGTTCACCCCTGTTCATCACTTCACTGTCACTCCCATTGTCCCCCTGCCATAATGAGCGTGACATCCTCATCACCTCTGGAAATCGTCTTAGGATCTACATGGAAACACTGTAGAACCTATCATTTTTATGAATTTAAGCTATGTAAACTCTCATTCTCTTTATGTAATGTGCTGCTGTTATTGTTTTGCTTCACTGTGCAAAAAATTACCCATGAGGGCTTTCAAAAGTTTGCATGTGACCTCACTTCCCATCCCCCCTCTTTTTTTGGAAACCTCCTAAAATCATCCTTTCTTCAGCTGAACTCCACTATCTTGGGGGTTGCTCGGGAACTTGACCCTCATAGGTAAAGAGGGGTCGCTGTTTCCATGTTTCTGCCTCTTGGTGACTGCTTGGGTTAAAGCACAATCAGTCTTGAATGAATGGGAAGAGCCCTGGATTTGGGCTCTGAAGAACCTGGGTTGGAGTTCGGCGCTGCCACTGATTACTGTGACTTTGGGCTAGTCACCGAGTTTCAGCACCAGTTAAGTGCAGGGAGTGATACCCGGGCTACCTCACGAGATGTCTTCTGGTAGCCAAATGCAATTCTAAGTATTAGAGAGGTGTTAAAATTAAAAAGGGCTACATAATAGTGAGGTGGTATTACATTTGTATCATTCTGGACCTTATAAACAAAACAACCAAACAATCATATTTTTAGAACTCTTTTTTTTTTAACTGAAGTACTTTTGTGTCTAGCTAGAACTTACACACTGATTATAGAAAACTTCAAAGAAAATGAAAATTGCCCATAATTTTACAAGCTAAAAATAACCAACTGGGTTGGTGGTTTTCTTCCTAGTCCTCCTCCTTCATTTCATATAGAACTTGTTTATCAATATATATAAAAAAATGGAAACTACAGACAAACAGAAAAGATAAAAGTTGCCTATATTCACAAATGCCATTTGTGGATTTGTGGATTTCTTTTTTTCTTTTTTTTAAAGATTTTATTTATCCATTCATGGAAGAGAGAGAGAGAGGCAGAGGGAGAAGCAGGCTCCCAAGAGAGCAGGGAGCCCGACACGGGACTCGATCCCAGGACCCTGGGATCATGACCCGAGCCGAAGGCAGACGCTTAACCATCTGAGCCACCCAGGCGCCCTCTCGTGGATTTCTTTCCAGACTTTTTTGTGGCATTATTTATATATGTTAATATATATGATATATCCTTATGCACAGTTTTTTACATAGTTAAAATCCTAATAATGCTCTTTTATATCTTTTTTTATTTTTTATTATGTTAATTTTTAAAAATTTTTTTATTATATCTTAATTTTTTACTTAACATGTACTTAAAAGTTTTATCATGAATATTTTCCTACATTTTTAACAAGTTTTCATAAATACCATTTCTGATGGTGTGTAATATTTCACCATATAGTGGCATCCTGGTTTGTTTGACCAGGATATTTTGTTGGATATTTGGGGTCCTTTCTAAACTTTCATTATAAATAACGTCACAATGTCTATCTCTTGAGTTAAATGAAAGCAGAGGTTTTTGCTCATTTAAGAAGTCTTTTTAATAGCTACATGTCATTGACCAAATGGAGCTTCAAGAGACAAGGCAGAAACAAAATAAGAAGCAGTGGATGTAATTTCCAGATTGAGGATCTATCTTTGTTGGAGACTGTTCCAGGAGCTGGATCTTGGCGTTAGAGCGAATCAGGAGAGACCTTTTGCCACCATTTGGTGATACTTTACTATAGAAAAGTTTTCAGAATGTAGCGCAGGAAAAAGGACATCCTGAACAAGTGATTTGATTTGATTTTACGGTCCCCGTGAAGGGTGAGACCGATCAGGTTGCTCGGCTGCTACAGAGCTTGGAGCCCAATGTGTGGCCCATGCAGAGCGCTTGAAATGGGACCCTACGGTATGTATGCACTTTGTATTGGCTTTCTTCTAGGCTCCATTTTATGTTTCTGTCTTTGTTACTGTTTTTTTTTTTCCTTTTCCTTTTCTTACCTACTTTGAATTTATGCTATCATACTGTATTTTGTGTATTCTTGTAAGCCGCCTTATATCCATTTGGGAACAAGGA